ATAGGCTTGGCACAAGCTGCACTCATGGCGTATGTCTGAAGCAGAACCACACATTGCTCTGCATGGCGTACTGGAGCATCTACCACAATGCGACAATACCTACATTCTTCTTTTTTGTGCAGGAGGCGCTTATGTGTTCGCATGTTGGCAAGAATGGATGCCGAGGATTGTGCCCAGAAAGCGGGATGAGCTTTCTGAATGTGCTGTTTCACTCCTTTGTGGCCAACAATGAATTGCCCACAGAGACTGCAGTTCGTTAATAGATGCTGAGTGACATGTCTCTTTTTTAGTAGAAGATCAGGATCCTTCTTAAGTTGTTCCTGCACGCTAGACTGATAGATCATAGCTATACTTTCTGAGCTTGTACAGGATTTGGCTCGTTCTTTCAGCTCGTGCAGCTGAGGGCAAATGCCTGACTCCACATGTCTGCGAAGTTGATGCATTGTGCGCAACTGCCTGTTGCATGCCGCACATTGCGGAAGTCCTTTGCAGCTATGCACAGTGACCTGAAATTTTGGGCCTAGCTGATTCGCACGCTGTCCTCCATGCTTCACCAGAGTATGTTGCTGAAGACCCTTAGCGCTGGAAAATTTCCGATCGCACAGAGAGCACGGTACCTCCTGGTCTGCCTCGGTCAGGTCCAAATGCATGCTCTGAAGCTCCTGTTGCAGCGCAACAATCCTACCTCTAAGTCCCAGATGCCACTGTATGTTCTGATCCGGGTTGGACTTCTGACAGGCATCTAGTGCGTCTTGATAGTTTTTCATCTGGCTGATCAAAACTGCTTGAGGAGTCTGAACCTTATATTGCTCGAACAGAGTCTTCGTGTCAATATGGCTGTAGTGCTGATGTTGCTTAAAGATGGATCTTAGCATCCTCGAGTATTTACTCTGAAGCTTCTGAAGACCTGATGAGGTGATGCCAGTGGCCACAAGCCCATGCAAGAGTGAGGATTCCACATAGACCCTCCAGATCTCCAACTTCTTTGAAGCCTCCAAGGCCTTAGTGGAGCACAGGATGTGTCGAAGTAGCTCAAACTTGCCTTGAGCTTGGGCGATCCTATAGTCAACAGTCTGGTCTTTGTAGGATCCATAGCTGAGCTGCACCCCTAGATATGTTAGTTTGTGATGAATCGGAATCTTATGTCCTGAGGGAAGGACGATGTGCAACTGCTTCTCTTTGCGCATCGTGTGCTTCTTGCGAAAGATGGACTGCTGAGTGCCCTGAACCATTAGCAAGGCTTTGGACTTCGTTGGATTGACTTCCAGCCCCACGTCCTCAAGAGACTGAAAGAGAGCCTCTATTCTGAGCAGGACTTTCTGAAGTTCAGGAAAGCTCGAGAAGGTTTCCTGGAGCAGGAAATCGTCTGCAAAGACTGTTAGGATGTCCCTAGCTTGCTTGCTATCTGGGCCCCATTTCTGCTCCATTCTGCTCATGACTAGAAGTGTCAGCGCAGACCACAATGCCGGGGCTAGCTTGCAACCTTGTTTGATTCCTGAAGAAGTGGGAACTTGAATCTCTAGTCCACTTGTGCCCATGTTGTAGGAGGTCTCACTATGTAGTTGAACTACCAGTTCTTTCGTAACAGGGTCTGTTCCCAGGCGATCCAAGGCAGCTAGCAGCTCATGTCTATTAACAGAATCAAAAGCTTTGCTCAGATCAACCGAAATAGTAAGTGCCCCTGACAGCTGAGCCTGCCTGGCTCCGCGTTGGGACTTGTGCAGGTCCCTGCGATGCACTTGACGGAGCTGCTGCACGAAATCAAGGTGCTGACATGCTTTCGCGATGGCGTCCCGCACCCCCCTCTGCCTAATGTACGCAAATTGAGGCTGAAGTTGTGAGCTCTCCTGCAGTGCTGGTGCAATGCGAGTCTTCACTGCGCCTGCTAGCACTTTGCCTGGCACGCTGATGACTCCTATGGGCCTCAGGTTTTTCATGGAGGTGGCTGGCTTGCCCGGCTTGGGGATCCATGCAATTCGAGGGTCCTTTAGATAAGGGGAAATTTCAGAATGGGACACCTCAGAGTTGATTAGACCTGCTATGTGTTCGTGGGCTTCAGGACCTAGACTCTTCCAAGCTGAAACTGGGGCTGAGGTGCTGGGGACTGCTTTCCCCACTGGCACTGTCTTGATTTGTGAGGATACCTGCAAGGCGGTGATCGCTGCTCTGGGCACAGCAGCTACTGAGTGCAAAGGAGGACTTTTGGAGAAGATTTGGCTCGAGTATTCGCGCATAGTTTTTAGTGAGGCCTCCGTATCAAGCGGCTCACCTGCTTGATCCCTTAGGTTGACTCTCTGCACTGGGCGCCACGGAGCAAGTTTCCTGAGAGTATGAGCCAGTTTGTGGGATTGTTGCCTTTTATCTTCCTGGGCTT